GGAGTGCCGAGCATTATGTGAGAAGGGCGGCTCCTCCAGAGAGCACAAAGCACCAGTACCGATTGACACATGTGACATCTTGAGGACTCGTGAATCAGATGGGAGCTCGGAGAACGGACTCCCCTGCGCATGCTCCAGATTTGGAGCCAAAGTGTATGCTGATGTTGTGTTTGACGGATGGTTGGCCTGTGCGCAGCAAGCAATATACCAGCACCCCCGACGCCCCTGTCAACAACCACTGCGAAGTGGTCGCGGGGCGCCCGCGCATGCGCCAGTTTTGGAGGTAAAGTGCATGCTGCATTGTTTCTTAAAGGGATGGTGGGGGCCTCATTGCTCTGGGTTGGCTGCGGGTCGCCTGGGGGAGGGGGTGTTCATTAACAGGGTGGTAAGGGGGAGGGGTAAACCCCGCCCCGAAGGGGAACAGGGGAAGATGGAAGAGAAAACACGCGACACCACCTGCGCGCAGAGGGCTGGTGGGATTAGCTCACTTAGGCGGTAGCAAGCCTTGCAATCCGCCAGTCCTGCGTCAAGACTCTTAGCATTGCGCAGGCCTTACGGCTGGTGCCGCCGACCCCTGGAGGCGAGATCTCTCCCGGGACCGCCGAATTGGCGACCTCCACGGGGACACCGCGGGCACCGCAGCAAGCAGAAGGAGGCTATAGACAGTTCTGCACGGGCGCAGGGCCAGCAGGCAGGGAGAGGAGTACGCAGGCAGGGCCCGCCGTGCCCCCGGTGGGGGGCGGCATTCTGGCCCAGGATCCCTTCCCTCCCCCCCTCACCGCCCTCGCGCTCCCCCCCCCTCTCCTAGGCAGGGAAGGGAAAAAGGGAAGGGGCTTCCCTACGACCTTTAACTGCGACGTTCCTTTTCCTTGTTTCTCAATTTCCTTGGGACTGGCGACGACGACGACGACGAAAACGGAAAAGCGTTTCACACATGCGGAAGGGTCGGTTGCCAGATTCTTGGGAGTCCAAGACGGCCAGGGCCCGCAAAGGGCCTGCCGTAAAGAACCCGCAGAGCAGAATCACTGGCTTACGCCGCACCGGGCTTGTAATCAGTGGTCTTTCGAGGGCATGTTTTTCACAAAGTGTATGGCCAATCGCTGCAATGATTGACGCCTCGCGTATCCACACCAGGCCCGCGCAAAGACGGGTTGCCACGTTTCGTTCTGGTCCTTACTCCCTTCGGGGCCCCCCTCGCCAGCCGGACGTTCCCAGTTCGCTTCTGGCGCTTGCCACGCTAATGCAGTTGTCCTGGGTGAGGTGTTTAGCCCTGCTATCGGCAGTTCACTTGGCAGTTCTATGCGTGCTGCCATTCCGTACAGGCGTTCGATGTCGACCTTATCCATCGTATTCTTGATTGGCAGCATCAGGCATGTGGCCGATCCGTTCAGGTTTTCGGTGTCGATCCCTTCCATCGTTTTCCTGGTTGGCTCTTCCTCTCGTTCTCGGAGAGGGGATTGCCCCGGATCTTTTCTCTCAGGAGTGAGTGTGCGATTTTGCCGCGCCATTTTGGCTGCGTGTAGCTCCTTGGTTCAATTTGTGCATCGGCACTGCCCCCGGATCCTGGATCTGGTTGCAGTTTGCATCGCCCGTCGGCAAAGTTTCGGGCTCTGCCCCGCTTCCCGGCACCACCTCGCGCAGCCCGGCGGCTTAGGCAGCTTAGGCAGCTTAGGTTCGGCCGTCGGTCCCCATGCGCTAGGCAATTTGGTTCGCGCGTAGCCCGCCCGACCTCTGACGCTGCTGGCGCGCTCGCCTGTGGCCGCGACGAAAAAAAGTATCCCCATCAGGGTTGCTTGCTCGGCGCGCGCGCCGGCAATTAGGTTGCTCGTGGCCCGAGGCTTCTCCACTGGATCTGTCGGACCCGTTGGCCCGCAGCTGCGACAAAAAATGCCCACCAGTCCATCCAATAACGGTGCCCATGAGAGAGCGGCGTGAGTATGTCGCGAAGCAGGGATGCCAGCAATTGTGAAGTTAGACATTTTTGGAGGCCTCTTGGAGCCATCATGGCGTTATTCTTGAGGTCCTCTGGATTCTCTTGGAGCCCACAGCCCTCTTGGGGCTCTCTTGGGGCTTTCTTGGGGGCCCTGAAGGGCCTCTGGGCCCCATCGATTGGATAAGAGAGTCTCGGAAATCGGGCCCCCCAAGGGAGGCTGAAACAATTGGTTTCTTGGTATCGTCATGGGGGGATCTTGGGATGCCCTTGGGCACTGTTGAGGGCGTCTTGGGGCCCGCTCGGGCTCACCTCGGGGCTATCTTGGCCATCTTCGTTCCATCTTGAGGCTTCAGAGGCCCACTGGAAGCAATAAGAGGCGAGAAAGGCAACCCACATGCATTCCTTAATTTGGCTTGCCTAAAAGGCTTCTTATCCGTAAGGGCTTCGCCCCATGCCGCCGGCCCCCTGTCTCGGATAATGGGAGATGCAAAAGCTAAATCATGAGATCTGGGCGCCGCCGTGAAGCAGTGTCGGGACTTGTTTGTTGTTGGACCCTGACCCTGCGGATCTGCATGAGGGGTGCCGCCGGATTTCAGAAATGTGGCAAATCCCTCGTGTTTTTGGACACCGACCCTACGGATCTGCATGAGGGGTGCCGCCGGATTTCAGAAATGTGGCAAATCCCCGTGTTTTTGGACCCTGACCCTGCCGATCTGCGTGAGGGGCACCGCCGGATTTTAGAAATGTGGCAAATCCGATGTGTTTTTGGACCCTGACCCTGACGATCTGTGTGATGGGTGTTAATTTCATCCACCCCAGCAACTCAGAGCACACGCTCAGGGCGTGGTGAAAATGCGCGTTTTGGGCCTCCCTCCCTCGCGCGGTCCAGCAACAAGGAACAGTAAGCACCAAGAAGCAAAACTGTAACAGTGGAAACTGGAAACAGCAACTGGCACAGGAAACTTCGAACCTTCGCCCTACAGCCTGGTGGCCTCACAAGGGGGCCGGCGGACTTGGCTAAAGATTTGTGTCTCGGGCCCTTATTTTGCCAGTTTCCAGGAGATTCCCCGGGTTCCCCCGGTTCCCTGGGTTTCCCGGGTTTCCCGGGTACCTCATAAGTTCTCCGGGTTCCCCGAGTTCCCCGGGTTCCCAGGGTTCCCCGGGTGCCTCATTCCGAGCAATGCCAAGCAATGCTAACCAATGCCAGCAATTGCGCCCATGCAGTAGGAAGCTTTCCCCTACTTGGGGTCGCGCTGGGTTCATGTTCTTTTGGTTTTTGAAAAATGTTGGCCTGTTTGGGGCCCGTCTGGAGCAGTCTTGAAGTTATCTTGAGCCATATGGAGTGTTCCAGAAAGGGCCCTGTCTTCGAGGATCGGAGGAGTTGGCATCGCTTTCTCGGCGGAAGGCGGGGGAAGGCCGGCGGAAGGCGGCGGAAGTAAAACGAGGCCGCCTCCGCCAGCAGAAGCTACAGTCGACCTCCCAAGAGATGGCAACGTGTTCGGATTCCTGGTTTCCGAAAACCGCCATGTGGGTTCGCCCATGCTGTCGGGTGCCGCCGGGAATCGGGGGGTGCCCCCGTGCTTCGCGCCCTGCGCCTCCCTGAGCGGATTTTTCTAACCGCCAAGCAGCTCACTTAGGCTACACAGGAAGCCTTCAAATCTGCCTTCAAACCTTTTTACGGTGCCGTTGTTTATACATGTTCCGCGTGCGGACCATGTATGAACATGTAGGGGTAGCATTAAAAACAACGATGAGTTCATGCAGAAATCAATTCCTACACTAATAATGCATTAAAATATTACATGTTCGAAAATCCTATGTATTAGAAACTGCCCTGTAACCGCGAAGCAGCTCACTTGGGCTACACAGGAAGCCTTCCAGTCTGCCTTCAAACCTTCTTAACCTTACCAGCAAGTTCTCCGGAGCTCAGCACGGCCAGGGCCCGCAGGGGGCCCGCCGTGTGGAGCCCGCGTGGCGGAAGCCCACGGGCAGCCGCCTCTCGGAAAGCTATAGGCCGTTGTCCGCAGGGGGGGGCCGCCGTGTGGAGCCCGCACGGCGGGAGCCACGGGAAGCCTCCTTTCGGAAGACTGGATCCTAGGGGCACAAAGAGTGGCATAGATATAAAAACTCGGAGGTCCGCGCGGATTTCTCGGATCGGCGCTGGACCCCCCTCCCTGGCGCGCGGGTCGCGCCAGGGGCGGCCCCGGAGACGCCGCCGGGGGGCCCCAGCGCCGATCCGAGAAATCCGCGCGGACCTCCGAGTTGTTATGTTTATGCCACTTTTTGTTCCCTTAAGATCGCACATGTTGTATGTTTGCGTGTTTGGGGGGCGTCTTAGGGGCTCTCTTCGGCCCTTCTGGTGCTGTCTTGGGTCGTCTTGGGCCGTCTGGAGCCCCGTCGGATACCTCTAGGGGCGCCCAGGTGCTCGTTGGGGTGGGTGTCTTTTGGTCCTCCTGACGCCCTCTTGGGGTCTTCAGCGCGGTCGGGGCCGTCTTGAGGCGCTTGTGGGCGCGTGGACTCTGTAGACCCAGAGGGCATACACGGTGGGGGCGTTCGTTGAGAAACGTACCCAGGAGGCTCCAGACCCTAGAGGATTCCTTGTCTGGTGAGGGCGGCGGTGACATCCGCGGACAAGCCTGCATTGGTGCTCCAACGGCTTCCAGACCTTGGACTCCTTCTCTAAGGGTCCCTTCTTGAATGCCCTCACTGTATGCCAGAAATGCCAACACACATGCAGCAAAATAGCGAGGTGCCCCTCTTCGAGAGGGCTACAGGGCTACTACTGGGACTCTCTGGGGCCATCTTGGGCTGTCTTTGGGACAGATTGGGGCTCGTTCGGACTGTGTTGGGGCTTTCTTGCGCCGTCTGGGGGCTCGGTTGGGCCGCTTTGGGGCCGAAAAGGGGCCTAAGAGAATGAGACCAGAGACTTCCCAGAGGAGTTGGTGCGGACTGATGCGGATACGCGAGCCCCCCCCCCACCCCCACTGTCTCTCAGCATCATAGTTTATGCCGCAGCCTTTTTGGCTCAAGACGATTGTGCTCAGGCGGACACGTTATTTCAGTCAACATGCCTCGTGGTGCAGGAGGAAGGCAGGATGCCTCGCAGCGCCTTCGGGCCAAACTGCAGTCGCGAGAGAAAGGTGCCGCTGAGGCGGAGCAGAAAAACAACGCAGAGCGGGCCGAGGAGCTAAAGAATGAGGGCAATGCCCTCTTCAAGGATGGCAACAACTTGGGTGCGCTTGCAAAGTTTTCGGAAGCGATCGAACTCGATCCCAACAACCATGTGCTTTGGTCGAATCGTTCTGGTTGCAACGTCAAGCTGTTGAGAACACGAGACGCCGTTGCAGATGCTGAGCGTTGTACGGCCTTGAAGCCGGATTGGCCCAAGTCTTGGTCGAGGTTAGGCGCTGCTTTCTTTGCCGATGGGCAAGCAGTCAAAGCCCGGGATGCTTACAAGACAGGTCTGAAGCTGGAGCCAGCCAACGCCACTCTATTAGAAGGCCTGGCTCTGTCGGAAAAATCTGCGCTCGAGGAGGAAAAGCAGAAAAAACAAGAGGAAGCGTCGGAGCCGTCAAAAGCAGAGGAGGCGAACGCAACGCAGTATGGGAAGGAAGTCGAGCCAGTGATCGGTATTGACCTGGGAACCACATTCTCCTGCGTGGCCGTGTGGGGCCAAGACGGGGTTCAGATCTTGGCAGACGAGGACGGCATGCGCACAGTTCCGTCATACGTCGGATGGACTGCAGATGGCGAACGTCTGATCGGACACGCTGCGAAAACACAGGCGGCCAAGCACACAAAGTCAACCGCCTTTGACATCAAGCGCATCATTGGGCAGCGCACCAACGATGAGGCCGTGCAGAAGGAGTCAAAACGCTTTCCGTTTCCGGTCGTGGAGGGAGAGGACAAGAAACCGGTGATTGTCATGGAAACCAAGAAGGGCAGAACCCAGAACTTTGCACCAGAGGAAATCAGCGCTATGATCTTAGGCCGGATGAAGCAGATCGCCGAGAAGGCGTTGAAACGCCCAGTGTCAAAGGCAGTGGTCACCGTGCCCGCGTATTTCAATGATGCGCAGCGTCAGTCAACAAAGAATGCTGGAACCATCGCCGGCCTTGAAATTTTGCGAATCATCAATGAACCGACAGCAGCAGCCTTGGCATATGGGTTAGATCAAAAGGCTGATGCTGCCAAGAGTTCCAACATTTTGATCTTCGATTTGGGAGGTGGTACCTTTGATGCAACTGTTCTCAATCTTGAAGGTGGCATGTTTACTGTCTTAGCCACAGGCGGTGATACGCGCCTCGGTGGCGAAGACTTTGACAACACCCTTGCGGACCATCTCGCCACCGAGTTCAAGAACAAGCATAATATTTGTATTACAGAGGCAAAAGATAAGTCCAAGCTGAAGGCAGCTACTGAGCGCGCTAAGCGTGAGCTCTCAAACTCACAAGCTGCCAAAGTCGAGCTGCCTCTCAACGGGGAGGAATACATCGTTGATATTACGAGGGCGAAGTTCGAGTCGTTGAACGCGAAGATATTCAATCGCACGCTCGATGCTGTGAAGTCGGTCCTAAAGGATGCCAAAGTTGAGCCCTCGCAGATCGACGACATCGTGTTGGTCGGTGGCTCGACTCGCGTGCCGAAGATCCAGGAGCTTCTCAGTGAACACTTTGGAGGCAGACAGTTGTGCCGGTCGATCAATCCCGACGAGGCTGTCGCATACGGGGCTGCCGTTCAGGGTGCAATTTTAGCCGGAGTCCGCCACTCTCTCTGCGATTCGATCGTGCTGGTGGATGTCACCCCACTCTCCTTAGGGATTGAGGTCCAGGGCAAGCACATGTCCGTTATCATCCCTCGCAACACAAAGATTCCTTGCACGAAGACTTCAAAGTATACGACCACAGAAGATTATCTTAAGGGCTTCGCCCTCTGCCGCCGGCCCCCCTATTACTAGTGCGGGCGGCTGCGCTGGGGTCTCCTTGGGGCCTCTTGGGGGTCTCCTTTGGGCCTCTTGGGGGCCTCTTGGGGGTCTCCTTGGGGCCTCTTGGGGGTCTCCTCGGGGCCTCTTGGAAACGATATCTGGGGCTTCTTGGGGGTCTCGGTTGGGGCCTCCTTGGGGGCCTCCTGGGGGCCTCCTGGGGCTCGCTCGGGGCGCAAAGGTGGAGTTTTCGGTTCGTGCACTCACTCTTGGGACTCTTGGGGGCCTCTTGGGAGGATCGAGGATCGAGGAGGAGGAGGATCGAGGAGGAGGAGGAGGATCGAGGAGGAGGAGGAGGCCTCTGGACCGTCGTGGGGCCCTCTTCGGCCGTCTTGGGGCCGTCTTGGGGGCCTCTTGGGCCGTCATAGGGGCTTCTCGGGCCGTCGTGGGGCGATCTTGGGAACCTCTCGGTCCGCCTCGGAGCGTCGGAAAGCCGAAAAGGCGAGAAGGCCAAAAAACTTTCGAAAACGTTAGGAACATCGTTGATTGTTGCTTCGTGGGGCCCTCTTGGGAGGCCTCTTGGAGGCCTCGTGGGCCGTCTTGGGAGCATCTTGGGCCGTCTTGGGGCCACCGTGGGACATCTTGGGGCCATCTTGGGCCGTCTTGGCCTCCTGAGGCTTTCTTCGGAGCCTCGTCGGGCAATTTGAGCGGCCTCTCGGGCCGTTCTGGCCGCGCGGTGGCGTCACCATGAGAATCCTGGGGTGGCCCAGAGCAGCCTAGAGTTGAGGTTCACACCCCCTGGTTGGCTGTTTGGTGGCGCGGCGGGGCCCTTGATCAGACAGTAACCAGGAGGCAGGAAACAGGACCGGAGAGACAAAAGGCCAAACAACAAATGACAACACATAACACCTGACAGCAGACCGCACGCACCTTTGCAGTCTTGCGCCCCCGGAGGGGGCCGGCGGATCAGGAAAGCTTGGACGTTTCTATCTATGAGGGAGAGCGCCCATGTGTCAAGGACAATCATTTGCTTGGGGAGTTCAAGATCACCGGCATTGAGCGAGCCAAGCGTGAGGAGCCGGAGATTGAGATCAACATGGCGCTAGATTCAAATGGCATCCTGACCGTCAGTGGAAAAGATAAGAAGACTGGTGCAGATGCCACCTGCTCCATCAGCAACGCCTGCAAGGGGTTGTCCCAGAAAGAGATTGATCGCATGGTTGAGGAGTCCGAGCGCTTCGCAAAGGATGATGCCGAGCTCGTAAAGAAAGTACAGCTTAAGAATGAGATTCAGTCCATAGCCTTCGATCTTGTCAGGGACAAGGAACTTGCTCAGGAGACTCTGGATTGGTGCGACTCTGTCGACATGTCGACTTGTCCACTGTCCTCGCTGGAAGCTCGCAGGAAGGAGCTTGAGCGGGCTGCATGATATTAGATCGTCAGCCGTAGCCGTGTTTCTATGAGGAGTGTTGCAGGCGAGTAAGCACAGGTGTCATATGATGTTAATCGGGACAAGAAAGTAACACGAGAGGAAGGTATGCGTAATGTGTGTAGATTCGTATGCTGGTACCAGCAGCACAGGTACCCATTTTAGCAGCATCGCTAATATGCCATGTATCGCGTCCACCACTGCTTCAGTATGATGCAGCAGCGAGGGCTCTGCTAGACTGGTGGTCCTTTGTGCTTGTGCACCGCGCTCTGGGCTCAAAGCTTGTGGTGTGCACCTGTCCTCCATGAGTCCAGTCAAGCGTAAGAGGCTCGCTGCTCTTCTGATGGCAACACTCGTCGCCGAAACTCACGCTGCAATTTTGCCGTGGTGCCTTGCAAGAAGGGTGGAGCCTTGCAAAAAAGGGAACTCTTGCCTCAGGATGTTTGTATATCACTCCCGCCCCGCCCCAATCAGATTCCACTGCCCAGGGCCACGTTTAGTATACGAAAACCACGCCCGAGGGAGGGAACTTTGTACACCAAACCCGCGACCAGTACCCTCGCCCACCCCACATAACCTTTGAGTATAGTATACAACCCTAGACGTTTGGAACCGTGTTGGAGCGCTCTTGGAGCATCTTGGAGCAGGCTGGAAGTCATCCTGAGCGATCTCGCTTGAGCCATCTTGGAAGCCATCTTGCGCTCCCCAAGTCCCTTGCGGAGCCATCCTGGGACACCTTGGACGCTCCAACGACCCGTGCCCCCCTGGTCCAGGTGAAGGACAACCAATGGTCATACAGTGCCGTTTTTAATACATGCTCCGCGTGCGCATTATGTATTAAACATGCAGGGTTTTAGTACCAAAAACAACGATGATTTCGTGCATACATGTATTCATAAATTCGTAATGCATTAACATCCGATGTTTTTTTGTTTGTAAAAAAAAGAGCATCCTATGTATTAGAAACTGCCCTGACAACAAAAATAACGTGCGATGTTTCGCATTCTCACGCCCAGAGGGCTTGAGGGATTTTTCGGGTGCGCTCCTGCCGTTTCCCTTTCCTCTGCCGGGCTTGCAGGGCTCGGCCCACCAGGCCCCCGCGGATGCTTTGGCTCGGGGCCCGCCCGTGCCGTCGCAGAAATTTCCCGATGTGGGAACCTCTTGGAGGCTCAGTTCTCAGGAGGTTCTCAGGAGGGAAAAACACACAGACACAATTAATCGTCGATTCCCCAGAAAATATGGGAAAACATGGAAAGTGGGGGGGGAAGACAGAAATCCAGAACATATCGGAAAATATGGGGCATCCTTTTGTTTGTGTGTATTTATTTGTGTGTCCTTGGGTCCCTTCTAGTTCAGCCATCTTGGGGCCCTCTTGGGGCAACGCAGGAGGCCTCTGTGGCGATCGTGGCGCACGTTGGGGGCCGTTCGGGCCTTCTTATGAGCACCTTGAAATCCTTCGAAGAAGGAGGTCCCAATTTTGAGCCCCCGTCGGAGCCCGAAGCATCGCTACTTGGAGCCCTCTTGGGACGCTCTTGGGGTGCTCTTCGAGGCCTTTAGGGCTGCCTAGAAGCCCTTCCGGGCCCCTCTTGGGGCTCTCTTGGGCGATCTTGAACCTCAGAAACACATCGGAAGCGAAAAGGCGAGAAGGCGAAATTCACTGAAACGCAATACGTGTTTGAGTGAGTTTGACAAGTTCGGGCCGACTGGGGGCCCTTCGACGGCATGCTGCAGGCTGCCTCCGCCCAGATTGTTCAATATTGGAGGCCATCTGAGTGTCTCTGGACGCCTCCAAGGAGGACACATAGTTCTACAGCCTCGGAAACGTGTTCTCCTGACGCCGCCACGCACGCCCATGCCAATCCACAGCGTGTTGGGAATGTCGCCCGTTTGTTTGTCGCGCAGTCGTGTTACATGTGGACCACAATGGGTATTCATGGCGCCGTGACATTACTTCGATTTGTACACGCCCACCACGACGTCTGTTGATTACCCACTCAGCACGCAAGAAGCGTAACACATCACACCGTGTGTTGGCACCGCGCATAACGGATGCGACTCAATCGCGCATATTTTCGCGTTCTTTTTCTCGCCCCGCCCAGGCCCGGCCAGGCAATTTGTGAGCCCCATGTGACGAGCCCCGAGCCCTCAGCCCTTCCTGCACGAGCTGCGGCGCCAGGCCGGCCCGAGCGCGGGCTCCGAAAGGGGGGCTCCCGAGGCAGCTCACAGGGGGTGGAAAGCCGTCCGCCGCTGCTCTTGGCCACGACGCCGAGCGTCGTGTAGTCCCAGGCATGTTCCCAGACATACAGCTCGAGTGACACTGGGGCCGAGCTCCGGCCGACGTCCGGGCGAAGTTGGGCGGTCGCCTCCAGCGAGACGGAGAGCCCAGGCCGAGCCCCCGAGCCGGAGGGATTTTTCAAGCCAGGCAGAGCTCGAGGATGTCTCTGGCAGGGCGCGCGGCCAAACCACATACACTTTCAAACAATTCAAACTTCGATATGCAATTTCAAAATTCAATTCCATATTTCAAAGGCAAATGTCAGACAAGTTCCAAGCCATATGCAATGCCAAAATCCAATACCATGGCCAGGGCCCCCCTGCAGGAGAGAGCCCGTTTCGAGTCTTATCCGCGGGGGCGTTTGGGCCGCGCGCGCCCGCTGATGTGGCCGGGGTCCGGCGCGGAAGTCTTCGCTCGTCTTGCGGGCGCTCGGATTTTTACCCTCTGGCCTGTCGTATGTCCTCGTGCGTCCCACGGAGCCATCTTGCGCCACATTAACTCGTCTAACCCCGCGCGGGGGCAAATCGCCTGGATCCAGGCAGCACCCGGGCCATGGCACCGGCGTGCCTGCCTGCGTCTTCAAGACGCGCCCAGGCCGAGCCCAAGACGGACAGACAAGACGAGGCGATGCCAGAGAAGGCAAGAAGGGGCATGGCAAGACGAGTCAGAGCCTGGCAAGACCAAGGGTGTTCACGGGTCGGTCGGGTCGGTTACGTCGCAGTCGGTCGCGTTCGGTCGGTTCGGTTCGGTCGGCTATTGTGTCGTTGCCGCGTCATTGCGCCCTTCTAGGCTGCTTTCGGCCTGTCGATTTCGGGCTGTTTCGGTTTCGCTGTCGGGTTCAGTCGTTTTTTGGTGTTGCTGTCGCCGTGCACGGCCTTGAAGACACGCCAAGACCAGGGCCTCCCAGTCGGCACAGCATGGCCCGAAGCTGCCCAAAGATGGCCCCCGAGAGGCTCAACTCCGTCAAGACGAATGGATCACCTATGAATTTGGCCTTCTCGCTTTTTAGCCACAGAAGAGCTCATCAAGCCTCAAGGGGGCCCCACAAGAGTCCCAAGACGGTCCCAGGAGAGGCCTAAGACGGCTCCAGAGTCCCCAAGAGGGATTCAAGAGCGGTCCACCTGGGCGTCCAAATTTCGAAAAGGCTAACGCCCGCCACGCGCATTCGGGTCGCCCCGAAGAGCCCCCCAAGAGGGTGTCTATAAGCTTGCAAACGGGCCTTAAAGGGCGCGACTGGGATGGCACCGACACTCGGAAGCAAACTGTTGCTTGCGCCACAAAAGCCTCGTAGACCCCAAGAGGGGCCCAAAATGGTCCCACGGGGAATTTTGGTATCTTGTTCAGATTCGAGGTCAACCCATTTCGGCCCACCCTAGGAGTCATCTTACGTTTACAATGGGACCCGGAGTCGACCACGATGCTACCTCAAAAAACGTCCAGCTTCTGTCGTCCATGATCCGTCGCCCATTTTACGCATCAGCGTAGTCACAGTAACCAGAAGTGTCTTGATGCCCAGCTCCGTCCACCATGGCATTCCCCATTGTGGCCTTCACAAGCAAGTGTGCACATGCACTGAGATGGTACGGTGGGGGCGTTCGTTAAGGAATGCGCCCAGGAGGCTTCAGACCCTGGAGGATTCCTTATCTGATGAGGGCGGCGGTGACATTCATGGCCAAGCCTCGATTGGAGTTCCACCGGCCTCCAGACCCTGGATTCCTTATCTACGGGGTCCTTATCCAAAGCCCCCACCGTAGTCTGCGTGAGGCGGGTCGGGGGGGGGAGTAGACTCCCGCTCTGGTGACAAGCGCTTTGGCGAGAACGGCGGGCGGGGTGAAGACGTCTGAGGCCAGATCGATGTGTTCTTTTTCAGTTAGTTCTATCTATAGTTCTATGTGCATATACATGTATATATATAGATGTATGTATATATATATATATATATATATATGTGTATCTCTCTCTCTCTATATATATATATATGTGTATGCAGTTCGTTGTATATCCAGCTGCCTGCGGCACGTTCCGCCTCCATGGCAGTCCAGCACCCCGGGTGGGGATTGCCTGGGGATCGAGGCGCGCGGGAGGCCGTAATGTGTGGCACGTCGTGTCCCGAGCCTCGCGAGAGCCGTGGCACCCTTTGGTTGCCTGGAGGCGGTCCTCTCGGAACGCAGCACGTGCCGTGTTCAGAGTACCCTGGCGAAGGGCCCAACCATGTGCAGTTTTGAGGGCCGTGAAGCGCGGGGGATATCCTTATGGCCTTCGGGGGATATCCTTATGGGGCCATGAAGCGCGCGAAGGGCGTGCCGATGTGGAGCGGGGCCGCCATGTGGGCGCTGGCTCGGCGGAACGCACCACGGGGCCGCGAAAAGTGTGAGGGGTGTGCCGCAGTGGGGCGGGGCCGCCACTGGGGCCTTCGGTGGAGCCCCCTGTGGGGCAACGAAACAATGGAATGGGTAGAAAAACGCATGCGAATACAGCCACTGGGGCCTTGGGTACGGCTCCCCATGAGGCCACGAAGCGCTATGCTGGGTGCGGGAACGCATGTAGACACCGCCACTGGGGCCTTCGGTGGTGCTCCCTATGGGCCACGAAACGCTGCACTGGTGGGGGAACCGCATGCGAGTGCGTCCACTGGGGACTTCGGTGGAGCACCCTGTGGGGCCACGAAGCGCTGTACTGGGTGGGGCTGACGCATGCGGGCGGTGCCACTGA